TCATTAGTTATCAGGGAAATGCAAATTAAAATGACAGTATTATTTCATACCCATTAGAATGGCTAAAATCTAAAAATCTGTCTATCTTAAATGTTGGTGAGGATGCAGAGGAGCTGGAATTCTCATACATTGTTAGTGGTATTGTAAAAGGGTAACACCTCTTTGGAGATCTGTTTGGCAATTTATAATAAAGTTCACATATATTTAATCTTTGACCCAAGAATTCTACTCCTAATATTTATGCAACATAAATGAGAACATACGTTCACAAAAAGACTTACACATGAATATTGATAGCAGCCTCATTCATAACAGCCCCACACTGGAAGCATCCTGAATATCCATTAACAGGGAACTAGATAAACTATGCTATATATGCACAATTGAAATACAAAATTCAAATGAATGTGACAATGTGGCAGGATCTCAAAACTATATTGACAGAAACTTTGCGTCAAAGAGTACACTCATTTATCTGAATGTCAATAATGGACAAAGTTATCCTATAGTGATAGAAATCAGAAAATAATTGTGTGGGTTGGGGGATTGATTGGAAAAAGATATAAAGAAACTTTCTGGGGTGACAAAAATGTTCTGTATCTTGTATGGGGCAGAGGCTGGCTACATAGATATACATTTACAAAAAATCATGCACCAAACATTTAAGATCTGTATTTTATGTTTACCTCTTAATTAAAGAATTAAATGCTGTCATTTTTTTAAAAAGCAGAAAATGAGAAGGGTAGTTAAAAATCGGGAACAAAGGTAGGCATTAACGGATGTTTTCCTGAATGGAAACCTCTACACCATTAAATCCAACCAGGATCAGCAGTTTTATTTAACATTTTTATAACTGATTTGGAAGATCTTCAAGTGTGCAGATGCCACTGATGTCTTTCTGGTGGGGCCAAGCCAAAATTACAACACTATCTCTATAGTAAGGCAAATTTTTAAATTTCAGGTCATGATCCATTGGCGGGTGGTGAAATCAACTTAGTATGTCAAGACCTAAATATTTTTCTTTTAATAAAACAGATGAGACTAAACTAGAAAACATCAGAATGCAGCCAGGCATGGTGGCTCATGCCTATAATCCTATCACGTTGGGAAGCTAAGTCAGGTAGATGATGAGGTCAAGAGATTGAGCTCATCCTGGCCAACATGGTGTAACCCCACCTCTACTAAAAATACAAAAATTTGCCAGGCCTGGTGGAGCACACCTGCAGTCCCAGATACCAAGGAGGCTGAGGCAGGAGAATCACTTGAACCCGGGAGGCAGAGATGGAGGTTGCAGTGAGCCGAGATTGTGCCAGTACACTCCAGTCTGGTGACAAAGCAAGACTCCGTCTTAAATATACATATATCTCAGAATGCATATAACATGAGGGAAGTATTGTTCTGTGAAATGTTTGCCTGAAATGCATTGGATTGACTTCTAAGTGGCTTATTTATTTTTTAAGAGAGCAATGGTTAGGAGTACAACAGAGAGGGTAGTGGTCACTTATTGCTATAGCCCAACCAAGCCTTGGCTGCCCTATGCTTAAATTTACTTAAGATGTGTATAAACAGACACGTGTGTGTATTGAGACATGATGTAAAATGTATCTCTTACTGTGAGCTGAGATAAAAATTTTTGAGGCTTCATAAGCAGGTAAAAAGTGATATCTATTCAAGCAAGTTGTGGGGATATATAGGAGAGCTTGGGGCTCTAAATTCTTGCAAGGAAGGGCCCGGGAGTTACTATCCATAGTAACAGCATAGACTGATTCAGCGCACAGTGTAAGGACACCAAAATGCTGTCCCAATAGGAAAGAGAGAAAAGAAAGACCTCATCTTTTTATTGTACAAAATTATGTTCCCTCCCCACTTAGAAGAGACAAAGCAGCAGGGATGGCTTCAAAATGGCAGGATTACCCAGTGCATCTGCGCAGTGCCACATTGCGCAACTCCAGAGGGTGCCCTCACACAGACTGCAACGTGAATAGCTCCCCCTGGAGTTGAGCAGTGCACAACCCATGCAACCCTACCAGGCAACTGTAAGCACAGTGATTAAGAGCACAAGCTTTGGAGTACAACCAACCTGGGGGCTTTTCTCAGGTTGAATCCCAGACTATATAAACTGAGGCAGGTTATTTAGCCTCTTTGAGCCTCAATTTTCCAAAAAAGATATGTCATACATCCCTAGGGCCTATTTCAGGGTCTGGCCTTGAATAACAATAAATATGAGTTAATACTAGTACCTGCCTATAAGGTGGTAGTGAGGAGCAAAGAAATCAACATATGAAAGGTTTTTAATAACTACAAAAGATGACAGACTGAAATAGTAACATTCTCCAGGATGGAAAGATACACGTTTTGTTCAAACTATTATTTTTTTCAAAAGCTGTAAGCTATGAAGAGAATGGATTTTTTAAAAATCCTGATACAGTGGAACTCTGGTAGGATGGGGACAATTATTGAAGTTTGAGAGTATATTTGGAAGAAATAAAAAGTAGGAAATGCATACACTTTGTTATTTACAGTTGTACGGCAGGTAAGGGCAAAATGCGTTAATAAACGCAAAGAAGTTTAAGAATGATATTGTCATGAGCCATGAGCCAAAAGCTGCAAGGTTTGGGCTCACTCCTGCCATGGGGTGGGGAGTGACAGCGGAGGGGCTATATACCTTTCCTCTCCCAGTGCTTATTTCCTGGTGGAACCGTGGTTTTGACGCAGACAGGACAAGTCTTCCTCCTTACTAAAGTCGCACAATGAAGCAGGTCGCCCAAGATTGAAAGCACGTTTCCAGGGCGGACTCCGGGCCCCGCCTTTGGCCAGCAAAAGTACATTCTGGCAGGGAGGGATCTCTAAGCCCCAATGTGAGGTCATGCCGGTTAGCAGTTAGAAAAGAGGCATTTCTCACACTTGCTAATGAGTTTGACGCTTGTGAAATATAAACAGGAAGTGGGAGCTCTCCTAGGCGACCTGAAGAAAATATACTCCCAGTTTGGTTAACTTGTGAATCCGAGTTCTCTAGGTCATCAAGGACACTGCCAGTTAAGACTGACTCCCAACTCAAGAGGCTACTCTTCACCCAGTCTCAGCTGTGACCCCATTTTTTCCAGTCCTTCCCACAGCCAGGTCACTCAGCAGCTAGGTGACTGACCCGAAGCGCAATGGGAAAGGCTTACAGTCATCTCTCAACTCCCCGAACTTGCAGGGCAGGAGAGCGCAGGGGTCAGTGAAATCCCCAGCCAGGCCTTATTTTAGTCATGAGTTTCCACTGGCTCCCTCCTCTGACTGTATCAGGGCTGCTCACACCGCGGGATTGGAGTTTCAGCTGTTTTCCCTGCTCCCGGCTGAGTTAGAAGGTCAGAGCCCGGACTTTTCCGGGGGAGGTGGATGGGGCCCTCTGGCAGCCTAAGTGAGATGGCCCAGATCTGGGCCGCTGGAGGAGGTCTTTCTGCCCCGCTTGGGATGGCTTCTCCCCGCTTCTCCACCCAGGCATCTTGGTTAGTATCAAATTAAAAACAAAACACAAAGCAACACAAGTTGTTTGTTTGTTTTTTCCTCTGTCAGCCAGTGGCCTCGATACAATTTTCCCAGGACTGCTTCTCCTTCATTGCTCAATTTATCCTCTTCCTAGAGGATAAATTCAAGGGCAGGATCCATGTAGGATTCACCCATAAGCACAGCGCCTAGCACAGAGTAAGGGGCTCATTAAACATGTGTCGACTGCATGAATGCTAAGATTTCACTGTAACCAGCGGTTTTTTTCTTGTCTCTCTCATCCCTCCCGCCCAGGGTGCTGACCGCAAACAGCGCCGCCGAAGTTCCTAACAGGCAGGGAGAGGGCGGATCCCGGCTGGCGCACCACGTCCTCGGGGTCTCAGTCCCTGGGTCCACGCAGAGGGGCTCGCGGTCCGCGGTGCTGCGGCCTGAGCCCCGGCCACGTGAAGCGTCACGCCCTGCGCTGCTGCAGGGCAGGCGCCGCCGCCGCGGTTGTGTAACGCTGCAGCCGGAGGGGAGGCGACCCGGGCGCCTCTGCTCCGGAGGGGGCAGAGGAGGGAGGGAACGCCGGGCACCGCGCCCGGTATCTTTCTGTGCTTGACTGGCCTGGAGGAAGGGGGTGACATTGGGGCACCCAGGGGGCTGCGCAACCGGGTGCCCGCCCGCCCGCAGCCTATGCCCGGGAGCGGAGCTACAGGGGAGCGAGAGGCCCTCGGCTCACACCCTTGGCGGTCAGGTGCGCGCAGCGTGCTCGGCGGCAGCCTCAGCTGCCCCTGTCCTTGGCCGCCGGCCCGCTTCCCATGGGGTGACATCCGCCCCGCCCCTCAGTCCCTCCCCAAGGCGGGCAATTCCTGGACAGGAGGGTGAGCGGTGGGGGCAGGGAAGCCAGGACAGAAAGAAACCCCAGCCTCTGGGTAAGGCTGGGGGGCCGGGCGACTCCCTCCGCTGCGCGCCGCTTCCTCCGAGCGGGCCGGGCGGGGGAGGAGGAAGAGGGCTGGGCTGGAGCTAGCAAGGGGATATTCCTCTCCCGGCTTGAGTCAGACGCGGGCGGATCCGTCCTCCCCCGTTCCCTCCCAGGAGACGGGAACTTACTTCATTTCCCTGGGGCAGGTTCGCCCACGTTACCAACTCTCCCCCTCCCCCAATTCCCCGGTCCCTTCCAGCTTCCGCGCCCCCCACCCAGCTGGGCAGGACCCAGGTCGCGCTGCCACCCCCTCTTCGGGGAAAGACGGCCGCAGCCGCAGACACCTGGGGGCTGGGGCTGGGGGTGGGGGCTCCCTAGCAGCCGCCGGAGCGTTGTCCAACACGTGAGACTCATGTGATGAAGCCGGGGGAGGGCGGGCAGGTCGCTCCTTCCCTCCCCGGCAGTGGCCAGACGTGCCTGGAGTCACAGGGTAGAACACGTAGCTCCAACCCACCCACTCGCTCCCATTTAACCCAGCCCGCAGCCTCTCCATTACTCCTCGGCTTGCCCCCCCGCCCCCCCACTCCGCCCTAACCTCCCCCCACCCCGCTCCCTCCCGCCTCCCCGCCCGCTCCACTTCTCATTCACTTGGCTCGCACGGCGCAGACCGCGCAGGGAGCACACACCGCCAGTCTGTGCGCTGAGTGGGAGCCAGAGGCCGCGGGGACACCGGGCTATGCACGCCCCCAACTGAAGCTGCATCTCAAAGCCGAAGATTCCAGCAGCCCAGGGGATTTCAAAGAGCTTAGACTCAAAGGAACATCTGCGGAGACACCCCAGAAGCCCACTCCAGGACAGTCCTCATCCGAGACGCGTCGCTAGTGCAGACAAGAGCGCGCAGTGGCCCCGGCTCGCCGCGCAATGGAGCGGATCCCCAGCGCGCAACCACCCCCAGCCTGCCTGCCCAAGGCACCGGGACTGGAGCACGGAGACCTACCAGGGTAAGTTGGCACTCCTTGGCCCCTTCAAGCCTTAGCTCCAGCCCCATGTTATGCGCCACTCTCAACTTGGAGCAGCTCCGGGCGCACCGGGGGCGGCGTGGGGGGGGGGGAATCCTTGCGCCACCGGACACCTGCAGCCTTGCGCACGCAGTCACGACCCTTCCTGGTCTCTCTTCCTGCAGGATGGATTTTGCCCACATGTACCAAGTGTACAAGTCAAGGCGGGGAATAAAGCGGAGCGAGGATAGCAAGGTAAGGAAGTGCACCCCTGGGAACCCCGCGCTCAGCCCCTCGCGCGCGCTGAGTTTCCAAGAAAAGTTTTCTCGCTTTGAGACTGGCGAGGGGATGCAGGGTGTGGGCTCGGTACCTCTACTGAGTGACTTGGAAAAGAAGGGGCAGATGATGGTTCTGGGTGCTACTCTGCTCCTCTCCCGGAGTCTTGCTGCGGGGCTGGGAGGAGGATAGTCTTCCTATCCCCTTCCCCAGGCGCCCACCGCCTCCCCGTGCGTCTTGCAGGAGACCTACAAATTGCCGCACCGGCTCATCGAGAAAAAGAGACGTGACCGGATTAACGAGTGCATCGCCCAGCTGAAGGATCTCCTACCCGAACATCTCAAACTTACAGTAAGTGAGAAGCTGGCCCGTTTCCAACCCAGCTCCTTTGCCCAGAGGGCGGGCGGGGGTCACTCGCCGCCTGCAGGTTCCGCGGGGAACTGCAGACCAGACGGGCGGATCGGAGCTAGCGGGTGGCTCTCTGGTAGGGTCCTCCTCCCCAGTCCTGGCGTTTTCTGGTCGATTCATGCAAATGAGGCGAGAACCGCTTGGACCTCTCCAAGTTGGCTCCAACACCAGCTGGCCTTCCTTTTCAAGAGTTTAACTTCTGGTGATTTTCAGGATTCCCTAGTTTTTCTCAGTTAAAGGACTACGCCAAGCAAAACGCACGTTTTATTTACCCCTTCTCCTCCACCACTCCCTCCACCTTTTTGCTTGTTGTTAAATAAGGGGACTTGCTTTGGCGTGTCCTTTTTTACTGCCTGTCCTTTCTTGACAGTAGCCCTCAGCTACTTGGCAGCCTTTGGTTGGGGAAATGGAAAAAAAAAAAAAATTGTATTTCGGGAGGAACAAAAAAGCCTGGATGAGCTGGAAGTTCTGAAAGGGTGTAAGGAAAGAAGTAGGGGAAGCCTCTTGGCTGCCAGACATAATAGAGGTCTCTCTCTGAGTTGACACCACTGCGGGGAAATGTTATCTCTGGATTCCCCCGAGTTAAGGTCAGCAGAGGCTGCTGGAGAAATTTATCTGTCAAAGCATTTTCCTGAGGTAGTTGCAGCCACCAAAATGCCTCCAAAGATAGCTGACACCGTTTTTTAAATTCTTTAATTAAAGACTTGAGTGTGTTTATCTGTCTTTTTAAAAGCATGCACTACAGACTTAAAACGGCCAACCGGGAAAGACTATTCCACTTTTTTTTTTTTTTTCTCTATTAGAGACATTTCTCATTGCTAATAAATGTCCCAAAGGTGGGACTTCCCTGACCTCACAGCTGACTAAGGCTCTATTCCTTCCAGACTTTGGGTCACTTGGAAAAAGCAGTGGTTCTTGAACTTACCTTGAAGCATGTGAAAGCACTAACAAACCTAATTGATCAGCAGCAGCAGAAAATCATTGCCCTGCAGAGCGGCTTACAAGCTGGTGAGTGCTGATTCTGGCTATCCTCTTTATGAGTGAGCACAAATAGAAAGCCTGTGGTCTCAACATCTGATGTAAGAAACATGACTGCAACAAATTGCTTATGCACGTTCATTGGGGGAGATGCAGTTTTATCTTTCCTAAAAGGTCAGACTTTTCATTTGAAATGCTGTGTGCCACCTGGCATGAATACGTATTAGTAAAATGATAAGATATTCCTGTGGCATTTTGGCTTGAGAGTCTCTGGGTTCCGGGAGATTTCCCTACTCCCTTTTAAAATGCCAAGGCACCTATAATTTGCATTGTGGGTGTTTTACAGTTGGTCTCCTTAGCCCTCTGTCATTGGAGAAGAGATTGTGGGTATGCCCCAGTGTTTTCCTGTGTCTTTGCTTCCTTGTTACTTGGTGTGTGGTGTGATGCTGGCAGGATACAGCAGGAGTTTTTCCTGCATTTCATGTGGTTCCCTGAATAGCCACTAGGTATCTTGGTGAATTGCACAATCTAGCGAAACCACTGAAGTTTCATCATTTGTTTCTACTGACTTCCAGAGAATCAGAGTCACCTTCTAACCTCTAGTCTCACTCTTTCCAAATAATACTGTACAGACTGGGGGGAATTATTCTACCCACTCCCTCATTTCATTCTTCTCTGTCTTCCTCTCAAAGTCTCATATGAAAATTGCAAAATCCCAGCAAATGCTTCTGCTAGTTTCCTCATTAAAAATAGGAAGACGGTCATACCTAATGTCTTGAGGATCATGGATAGAATATGTGGAAAAAAACGTAGAAATAGAGATCCTAATTAAAGATCACAGCATGACTGCAACTTTTACAAGTCATTGAAAATAAGTTTACTTTAGGTGATATTGTTCCTTCATTCTTCTCATTTTATGACTATCCGGCCTCTGCCCATTTTGCCATGGTGCAATATTACATGCATTGACTCTTAGGTTTATATCAGAAGGTTCTCTGCTGCCTCGCTTACGTAGAAAACTCACGAACAACCTCTATATTCCAAAACAGGGAAAACAGCCCATCTCTGTTAATTACGGTCCATTTCCATGATGGACTATTATGCAGCCACTAAAAAATCATATTTTATCTGAGTGTTAGCATATGGATTATTTTAATCCTTTATACTTTCCAGTGTAATTCTTCTCTGAGCATATTATTGTTGGAGTTAGGAACACAAATCAGTAATGCAATTTTTTTTTTTTTTTAACAAAAACGAAAACTCCCTAGTGTTTGGGGCATAGATATCCAGGTGTACTACAGGGTCTTCTGAAATGTCTTCCTTCGGATCTGTTTCCCCAGGTGAGCTGTCAGGGAGAAATGTGGAAACAGGTCAAGAGATGTTCTGCTCAGGCTTCCAGACATGTGCCCGGGAGGTGCTTCAGTACCTGGCCAAGCATGAGAACACTCGGGACCTGAAGTCTTCGCAGCTTGTCACCCACCTCCACCGCGTGGTCTCGGAGCTGCTTCAGGGTGGTACCTCCAGGAAGCCATCAGACCCAGCTCCCAAAGTGATGGACTTCAAGGAGAAACCCAGCTCTCTGGCCAAAGGCTCGGAAGGTCCTGGGAAAAACTGTGTGCCAGTCATCCAGCGGACTTTTGCTCACTCGAGTGGGGAGCAGAGCGGCAGTGACACGGACACAGACAGTGGCTATGGAGGAGAATCTGAGAAGGGCGACTTGCGCAGTGAGCAGCCGTGCTTCAAAAGTGACCACGGACGCAGGTTCACCATGGGAGAAAGGGTCGGCGCAATTAAGCAAGAATCCGAAGAACCCCCCACAAAAAAGAACCGGATGCAGCTTTCAGATGATGAAGGCCATTTCACTAGCAGTGACCTGATCAGCTCCCCGTTCCTGGGCCCACACCCACACCAGCCTCCTTTCTGCCTGCCCTTCTACCTGATCCCACCTTCAGCGACTGCCTACCTGCCCATGCTGGAGAAGTGCTGGTATCCCACCTCGATGCCAGTGCTATACCCAGGCCTCAACGCCTCTGCCGCAGCCCTCTCTAGCTTCATGAACCCAGACAAGCTCTCGGCTCCCTTGCTCATGCCCCAGAGACTCCCTTCTCCCTTGCCAGCTCATCCGTCCGTTGACTCTTCTGTCTTGCTCCAAGCTCTGAAGCAGATCCCCCCTTTAAACTTAGAAACCAAAGACTGAACTCTCTAGGGGATCCAGCTGCTTTGCTTTCCTTCCTCACTACTTCCTAAAAAACAACAAAAAAGTTTTTGTGAATGCTGCAAGATTGTTCCATTGTGTATACTGAGATAATCTGAGGCATGGAGAGAAGATTCAGGGTGTGTGTGTGTGTGTGAGTGTGTGTGTGCGCGCGCGCGTGCGCACGTGCACATGTGTGTCTGCGTGTTGGTATAGGACATTAAAGCTCCTTTTGGCATAGGGAAGTCACGAAGGATTGCTTGACATCAGGAGACTTGGAGCGGGGGACTGTAGCAGACTTTTGGGCTTTTCTCCACCCAGAGAATAGCCCCCTTTGATACACATCAGCTGGGTTTTCAAAAGCTTCAAAGTCTTGGTCTGTGAGTCACTGTTCAGTTTGGGAGCTGGGTCTGTGGCTTTGAGCAAAAGGTACTTTCAAAAGAGGGCTTTCCAGAGCACAGCTCCCAACCAGCTGTTAGGACCCCACCCTTTTCCCTTTCTTGTCGACGTGACTCACCGGATGACCGGGAGAGAGCAGTCAGACTGAGCTTTCAGCTAACGCGGTGAGGTAGCAGGCACTGGTAGCACGGCAGTGGTTTGGGGGGGGGGTTCCGCAGATCTGCTCCCCACCCCTGCCTGGGACGAATACGGAGAAGGAGCTCCCTACTCAGGCTTTCGTAGTGATTAGCTTACTAAGGAACTGAAAATGGCCCCCTTGTACAAGCTGAGCTGCCCGGGAGGGAGGAGTTCCCTGGGCCTCTGGCACCTGTTTCTAGGTCTAACCATCAGTACTTGCTGTTCAGGGAACCAAATCAAGGTCTGAGAGATGCAGACACACCAAGCAAGCACCCCAGAGTGCACAAAGCTGAGAAACTACTAGACTCACTTTTCAATTCTACCCTAAAACTCCTTTTAACCAAGCTTAGCTTCTCAAAGGCCTAACCAAGCCTTGGCACCACCAGATCGTTTCTGTAGGCTCATTCCTCTTGCCCAACGGCATATGGAGTGTCCTTATTGCTAAAAAGGATTCTGTCTCCTTCAAAGAAGTTTTATTTTTGGTCCGGAGTACTTGTGTTCCCCACGTGTCCAGCTAGCCCGGCAGCAGCTTTTCAAAATGCACTATATGCCTGATCGCTGATCGTGTTTTTTTCTTTTCCTGTTTTTATTTCGGTATAAAGTCGTTGCCTTTATTTGTAAAGCTGTTATAAATATATATTATATAAATATATTAAAAAGGAAAATGTTTCAGATGTTTATTTGTATAATTACTTGATCCACACAGTGAGAAAAAATGAATGTATTTCTGTTTTTGAAGAGAAGAATAACTTTTTTTCTCTAGGGAGAGGTACAGTGTTTATATTTTGGAGCCTTCCTGAAAGTGTAAAATTGTAAATATTTTTATCTATGAGTAAATGTTAAGTCGTTGTTTTAAAATACTTAATAAAATAATTCTTTTCCTGTGGAAGAGAAAGATGGTCTCCTGATTTTTTTTTAAATAGCTCAATTGGTGTGATGTGGCTGACTTCCATGCCCTTTTTTCTTGGCTGAAACAAACCAGTTAATCTCAGTGTAATTTCATTCAGCTTTTTATATGCTTTGTATTCAATCAGAATAAGCTTAGTCAACTTGGCAGGTAAATACTGGTTTAATTTTTTTTTTAACCCTTGCCAGAGTTTCGCGATCATCCTCTCCCTCTTTCCAGAGTTAAGTGAAACGCATATTTTCCCCCGCCTGCTTTTGTCATGGTTCTTGGAACTCGACAGAAAACCAAGGTATGATACTGTGGGCCGCAGCGTCTGGGGAGCTTGCTGGAGGGAGAGGCACTTTGAGAAAAGATTTACTGGATTATTATGCAATACCAATTGATGCTGGGATAGCACCTCTTTGCCAAAGCAGTCTGGCTTTTTCAAATCTAGCAAGGTCTAATGGATTTGCCATATCCTGTCTTATTCCTGCTGGAGGCAACATTCCATAATTATTTTCTACATCCTTCCTGGACTTCCTCTCCGGTGTGTTTGTGCGTGAATGAATATTGGTGTTCCTTAGAAAAGTGCTCTTATTTAAAAAAAATTCCATGGGAAAAGTGGGAAATGACCCAGTCATGTATTTTCGCCTCTCTCCTTTGCCTTGATTTGCAACATTCCCGTGGGATACTCCCTCTCAGAGGTGTCCTGGTGGCCAGCACCTAGCTCAGCACGCTCCAGCTCCCAAAGCATCCCAGTCTTCCAGAACCCCCTGGTGGGCTGCAGCACAGCAGGGAAGCTGCACCTAGGGATTTCTCAGCCAGGCAGAGGTTCCACCTGACCATGAGGACTGTTGGCTTCACTGCTACCTTCCCTGTTTCCGGATGGGCCAGCAGGTGAGAGCGAGCATTTTCTCTTGCTTGTGCTAGATGCATGCGGAATGCACATAACTGTCCCCAGGCCACATGGTGTTGTGCAAGGAGCCGGGACCAGGAGTTGTAGGCCTGGCATCAATAGCTGGTGGTCTATCACCTCCCTCCCTATGCCTGCTCTTGACTAGATAAAATAAGAGTTCTGAGCCCTCTTCACAAGTCCTATAGCAGGCAGATGGCAAATTCTGTAAGCCACTGTTTCTCCCAGATCAACGCCTGGGTTTCTAGGTCTCATGCCTGCAAAACACCTCAATTGCTTTATGAGTTGCCATCCTTTTTTGGAAAAAGCCCAACAAATCGAACTTATCCTGGTGATAGAGCCGGGGGTTGAAATCAAGACCAAACTCTTTTTGCATGACCCTCTCTTTTTCCTAGGCCACTGCAGGAGGAGTAGCTATGGGGAAAGAAGGAAGTGGTTGGAGCAACCTGAACTGAAAAAAAAAAGATTTGAGGGTTCCACACATAGTCAACCCAGAATCCCCCTATATGGGAACCTGCCCCTGACACACAGCCCTAAAGTTGCAGCTGTCCCTCCACTTGATTTTCTGCTTCCAGTTCGTCCTTAACCTTGCTTCTAGCCCAGTTTTAGCAGCACCCAAGTGCGCTCAGAGTGGGGTACGGGGGAGGGGCGAGCACCCCAGCCTAATGCCTACTGCGGACAAAGAGGATCTCTGTTTAAAACGCGGGGTATGTGAGTGTCAGGGGGTGAAGCACTGGCTCCGGGGCCAAGGAGAGGTGGCAGGCGGCAGGGGAGCGGAGGCTGGGGATCTGGCCGCCTTCAGACAGGGCGTGATCCGCCTGGCCTGCCGGGATGGTCTCACCCAGCGCTGACCTGCCTCGCCTGTTGACACAACGTCACGTTTCCGACTGCAGCCCTTTCATGTGCGGCCCGCGGCTAAAAGCGGCTGCCGGTTCCTGGAAGCAGACGTGCCTGGCACCGCGTCAGCAGAAACCTGATCCCCGGGGAAGCTTGGCAAGGCCTCGGGATCGCTCGGCCCCCAGAAATAGGGCCTGGCAGCGGGCGCGGGACGCACCCCCTCGCGCACAGCAGGAGAGAATCCGAGCGCTCCCCCCACAGGGATGGGAGGGAGTGCTGGGTGGGGTAGGGAGCTGGATTTAGGCAGAGCACGGAGACCAGGGCTTAATTAACTAGAAGCTAGAAACTTCCCACGGGTCATCGCTCACAAATGCACGTCAGACAATCTAGAAGTATCATTATGGGTACTATTAAATTCACATTTTGTAGATGAATAAAAGCAGGCTCAGAGAGGCGAGGTAACTAGCCGAAGGTCACACAGCTTCTGAGGGGCTAAAGCTTTTGTGGGGTGGTGGATCTGCTGGTTTGTGGATCTCTTAATTGGATCCAAGACGAAGGCTTTCACAGAGCCGAGTTTTTAATGACTATAATAATACAAATATGGATATTTATTATTAATAATAATTACAGCAAATGTGTTTGTGGCATTTACTATTTGCCAGGCACTCTGCAAAGCGCTCTACATACAATAACTTAATTATCACAGCAAGTCCATGAAGTAGGTAAATTAGTGTACAGTTAATAAACTGTAGGCACAGAGAGGTTAAGTAACTTACTCAACGTCACACAGCTCCAGTGATAAATTGTAATTTAAACCTAGGAAATTTGGCTGCAAAGTTTATGTGTTTAACTATAAAACCACACTGCCCTTCTAGCTAAGTTAATAATAGTAAAAGTAGTAATAATTATGATTATTACTCTCCTGTTTTGAGTACTTTCTTTGTGCCAGGTATTAACCACTTCCTGTGAATCGCCTCTACTGCTTATAGCAACTGTGAAGGGTAGACATGAACATACTCCTTCTTTTAAGTAAAAAAATTTTAAACATGCTCATTTTACAGATGAGAAAACTGGAATTCAAAGGAAAGAAATGCTTCATCTGAGGTGACACATCACAGAAGGGACAAAGCCATCCCTTTCTCTGGTATGGAACTGCTTCTACACTGAGCTCCTGTGATGTTGGGCTTTGATACATATTATCTCATTTAATCCTCAAAATAGCCCTGCAGAATAGGTACTATGATGCTCAGCCAGTGGATGAGATAACCAAGCTCAGATAAAGTTATTTGCCCAAGTCTTGATTTGCTCCTTACCAATGTCCCCACACACTGTCCCACAGCAAAGAATGGGCCCATCCTCTGGCTAGAGAAATTAACCCAGCAGGATGATTACAGAATATGGGGTGGGGGGGCCTAGAGGTTGACTGTGCTGAGAACCAGAATCTAAGCTTGAAGAAACTATATCAGAGTATTTTGGGCTGGGCACAGTAGCTCATGCCTGTAATCTCAGCACTTTGGGAGGCCTAGGTGGGAGGATCACTTGAGGCTGGGAGTTTGAGACCAGCCTGGGCAACATGGTGAAACCCCCATCTCTACAAAAAATACAAAAATTAGCCAGGCATGGTGGTACATGCCTGTAGTCCCAGCTACTTGGTAGGCTGAGGTGGGAGAATCACTTGAGCTCAGGAGGTAGAGGTTGCAGTAAGCTGTGATTGCGCCACTGAGCTCTAGCCAGGGTGGCAGAGAGAGACCCTATCTCAAAAAAAAAAAAAAAAGTATTCTGTCTACGGGGAAGGGGAGAGATTCCTTTTCTCGTGTCTCTCCTAAGGTTAGGAAAGGTCCAGGCCCAGGGGACTAGCAAGGTATGAACCAGCAGGGGCAGGGCAGTTCTGCGGGAGGCAGGCAGGCTGAGACTGCGTTCCAAGCTCTCTCTCTGGAAGGGAGCCTCTGCGGGCTTAAAGACCAGGCCACTGCAGCTCCTGTCCCTCTCAGATTTCTTTGGCCCACCCACACCCTGGCCTGTCTCTCCCCTTTGGCCACCACCCAGTACTTGGCTGGTGAGGGGTATGCAAGAGGCTGCCTCGTTTTGTGGAATGGGGCCAGGATCTCAGGTTAGAGAGGAGACAGCACATATTGCGTTCCCACGTGGTTTCATCTGTGTGTTAACGGGATCGGTGTGTTTTCCTGAGACCCAGCATTCCCTGAGGTGTCTGCCACGTGGCATGGAGGGAGGGAAGGCCCCAGCTTTCTCACCCTTCATCATCGGGAGCAGCTTCCTTTTTCTGTCTTACTACTGTAATTGTTTGTTTGAACAAGAGTTCTATTGCTGAAAAGATATCACAAACAAGTTTGGAAGGCCACAAATGATAGCCCCTTCCTCGGGCACTGCCTTCACCTCACTCGCCTCTTTCTCTAGGATCCAGAGGGAGGCTGAGGCCATTCAAAGCCGCCCGACACACACCCCACCCAGCACCACCCCCTGTTTATCCCCAGCCATCTGTTTGGCCCGACAACCACAGCAGAACATGAGCCGGGTGAAGCCGCTCCCATTGGTCATGGAAGCCACTGACATGCTCGTCTCGCGGCTGGGCCATCCAGTCTTGTGATGTGGCTGGATTTGGGCCCAGAAGGTTTCTTCCATTATAGATGGGGCCCTCCCTTCCCTGGGGATTCTCAGCAAAGATGCAGAGGTGGGACATGAGGGTGTCACAAGGCTGCTGGGTAGGGGTGCCAGCCTCAGGCCGGCACCAAAGGAAGTAGGGCAGCCAGCCTCTGCTCACCCTAAGTCCCGGCCCTGTTCTCCCATGCCCACACCTACCTTTGAGGAGGCAAAAGGGAAGAAACTTGTGCTTATTTGTTTTTTTTAAAACTTATTAGTTTTTTTGAAACCGAATTATGGATGGCGATGTGGGGGTGGGAATTACACAAGGACCTCAGGGGAATTCAAGCAGGGGGAAAAAGGAGGGAAAAACCACTCTCTTTCCAGATGGGGGAAAAGAACCCTGTTTCTTAAAGTTTTAAATAAAATAATATTTTGTATCTCTTTTACTGTGGAGCATTTAAAACATATTCAAAAATAGAAATGACAATAGACATTTCTCCAGAGAAGATGTACAAATGACCAACAAGTGCATGAAAGTATGTTCAACATCATGAGTCATGAGGGACATGCAAATCAAAACCACAACGAGATACCACTTCGCACCCACTAGCATGGCTGTGATATTAACAATAATAACAAAACAACGGAAAATAACCAA